CTATATCAGAAAACACATATACTACTAGCAAATGTGTGAGGTCATCTTGTGAATATCAAATTAAGCTTATATACGTTTTTAAATTTATGTTCAGATGGAACTATATGCTGGAGCATTATTCATGCAACAACTAATAGGCTGGAATATATATATTTGTATCACAGCTATTTTGGTGGTAACTGCTCTATATACTGTTACTGGTGAGTAAGTCTACCAAATAAATACGGTCGTCGGTCATTACGTCGCCGTTATACTTGTTGAAGAGTGGCCCCCTACTCACCTACAATGAAAGCTCAGGAAGACACCAGTGGACGTTTTTGCCCGTGGCACTGAATTTCATCTATTCTTTATTTCCAGGAGGATTGAAAGCAGTTATGTATACCGACACACTGCAAACTGTCATCTTGATGATTGGTGCTACTATCTTAGCTATAGTCGGTAAGCATTGTGGATTATTTCAACACTGTGGATTAACATCAAAATTATGATTATGCTCTTAACCAATAAGATAAGCTTTATGTTTAATGACCAAACTTATCATCAATCTGTTGCCATTAAATTCTTTAATGTTGTATTTCATCAAAACTGAAGTACTCTGTATTAAATGTTTATTTCTTCTATGGAAACATTGAACATTTCCAGGACTAATAAAAGTTGATGGTTTTTATGGATTGCAAGAAAAGTATATGACAGCAATTGCCAACACAACAAGCGACAATATAACTTTATACAAATGTGCTCTTCCACGAGAAGATTCTTTTCATATCTTCCGCAGCATTACAACTGGTGACTTGCCATGGACTGGTGCTGTATTTGGTGTCACCATATTTGCTTTATGGGTTTGGTGTTCCGATCAGGTAAGAAAGTAAACGTAAGTCTAGTCATTAAGTTACGTACACAATTCACCACACAATAGTAGATGCACACGTTATTACCTTTCATTTCAAGGTACGTCTCCGTCATGGCCTTCTTTTGTGTCTCACAGTTTGGTGTGTTGTGTTAATTGTAGATCGTAATCCACATCTCTTGAGGAGAACAAAGAATCAGATGGGTTAAGTATTATTGTTTGCGTTTTATGAATTTCATTGTATTATGTGTGTACAAGGATTATTTTTGACGCGTTGAATGAAATTTCGTTTAATTCAGTTAATGGTCCAGAGATGTTTATCAGCTAAGAATTACAGCCATGCTAAAGGTGGCAGTTTGTTCGCCGGATTCTTGAAGATAACGCCATTTTTCCTGTGGATTATACCTGGTATGATTGGCCGAGTACTTTATCCCGGTACGTGGCCTATTCTAATCATAAAGCATTAGAATTAAATGATCTGTGGGTTAGGAACCAGATATACTCTAAATAAATGCCATTTAGGTTCAGAAGCAAGTGTCCTGTGGGTTCAGATTGAGAATTATATGTTCCAAACATGTCCTGTCAGTGGCGTTTCTAGCAAATATCAGGTGACGGAGCCTAGCCAACTCTTTCACAATGTAAAATGGTAAAAAAATTGTAAGTGGAGAGCCCAATCTGAAAATGAGTGCACAAACATCCATTTGAGACAGCTTCAGACTGCGAAATCGGGTGCTGGAAGGTTTTCCATAGCAGTTTATTTTTCACTACTCAACTGAAAGTGACTGAATTGACTTCTCTGTAATTGTCTTTAGATGAAGTAGCATGCTCATCACCAGAAAAATGTCAAATTATTTGTGGTAACAAAGCTGGCTGTAGCAATATATCTTATCCGTTATTAGTTATACGACTTTTACCTAATGGTGAGTAACTTACATAGTATTTTACATACCGGGTCATTCTATAGATAGAACAAAAGGAGAACCTGTGAATTTGAATAGCGCCTTCAAGTTGAAACAAGGAAAAGGCAAACCAGAAAGCTTCATAAAAACAAAAATAAAACTTTCTTAATGTTTTTGTATATTTTGTTTTTCCACTAAATTGTAATTCTTATTTATTATTTTTATTATTCATTTATTATTTATTAAAACTCATTTGGTTAAACCATCCCGGATTTCAGCTTTATTTCGTACTCTTCATTACAACTATTTCAAAGTAATACCTGTTAATTTGCGCAAGGTCATTCTAAGATATCCTTTCAGGACTGCGAGGTCTGATGCTTTCAGCGTTGTTGGCAGCATTGATGAGCTCTCTGACATCCATTTTCAACAGTGCTAGTAGTATGTTTACTATGGATCTGTGGAGAAGATGTCGAAAGAAAGCATCAGAAGCTGAATTGATGGTTGTTGGTCGACTGGCGGTAGTCGTTTGTGTAGTGTTTAGTATCATTTGGCTTCCAGTTTTAGAGAGCGCTCAAGGGGGACAACTCTGGGTTTATCTTCAGGCTGTAACTGCTTGTATAGCCCCGCCGTGGACTGTGGTTTTTCTCATGGCAATATTTTGGAAAAGAACCACTGAGCAGGTCAGTATTTTCTTTCATTCATAAGGTTTTAATACTTTCACATCAGAAGAAATCAGAAAATGCTATCCGCCATTGATCTGAATTTTAACACTTCGCTTTTAGAGCACTGCCATAAAAACAATATGTAATGGAAGCCACAATTAATTATCACCAAAAAATCGAATATAGCAAACCCCATAAAACGGAAAGCAAACTTTGTGTTCCAGGGAGCCTTTTGGGGACTTATTGGTGGTTCTCTTGTCGGTTTACCGAGACTTGTATTAGAAGTTTACTATCCTGCACCGTTATGTGGAACTGGGGAACCAGATTTAAGACCTCTGATACTCAGTAAGGTCCATTTTTCTCATTTTGCCATAATAATTTCCGTGGTGTGTGCCATTATAATAGCTATTGTAAGTCTGTTGACGAAACCACGACGACCAGAGCAGGTAAGAGAATCATATTCACATTCACAACTAATATTAGCACTGTTCTGAAAGTTCTGATTGGACTCTGTATTTGAATAAGGGACACTTTAGCTTCTATTTACTTGAAGGGCTCTTTCGATAATGAAGTTATGTTTTCTATTAAATTCTGGAATTACAAGAAGTATGGTAACGTTAGCAAGACGGTTTGGGCATGTGTTTTAATTGCGAATATCCTAGGATGACATTTTATTTCAGCTAAGAAAAGTAACCTGGTGGACTAGAAATGATGAACAAGAACCAGAGATATCGGACACGGAAGACGAAGATGATGATAGTCAGGACGAGAGGGAGTATACTCAGTCCAAATATGAATCCCAAACCACTAGTTCAACAGATCGTAAGGGTGGTTCATCAATATCAACACCGTTAAATGGATCTTGTGTTAATGTGGTTGTAGCAAGCGACGAGCACAAAAACAACGGTGAGTCTTAAATTCAACTGATTAAACAAAATTTGTGGTAAATTTAATGTATTTAATTGGCGTATGCAGTCAATAGTCCGAAACAATGGCCTGTGATGGATATTTTGAAAGTTGTAGGCTGGAGTAGAGTCAGAAAAAATAAGTCCAGTTTAACAGGAATTTCCATACCTCCGCTTTTTCTAACATATTAAAATAGCTTTACGATGACTAAATTAATGTTGGACATCACCGTAACTTTAGTTTTGTTAGTATCATGTAACTGTGTGATCTTAAAACCCCGCACCTATAGATTGCACGCTGTTTGTCTGGTGAATTGCCAGATAAATTAATGTCTTAAAATATGTGAACTGCCAAGCATTCATAATTGTTTCGTCTCAATTGCAGAAGTTTTACAACCAAGGTCATGTAAGAGGATACTCGTGAACTGGTTGTGTGGTACAACAAACACTAAACCTGTTCTCCTTTCTTCAGAAGAGAGAGCTTCACATCGGAAAAAGATGACAAGCCTTACAGAAGACTTGACATCTAAAAGCGTTGTAAACAGTCTGGCTATAGGATTGTGTCTAACGACTTTTTTCCTCCTGGGATTTTACTGTTAAAGATGTCCATTACAAGAATTGATCATTTATTCTTTTAAAAAAAATTAAGAGGAGTTATATAATCGAAAGATTGTTTCCCGATTCCTTTAAAATTTCGTGTGAATAAAATATTTACAAGAACAAAAAGTTTGGAAATTGAAAGTCTCCATAGTGATTCGATCTTCTATGCCTTGAACTGTCTAGGATACAACTGAAATTTGTTTTAAAGAAATCTTCTAGCGCCTAGTAGGTATAAATTGGCCATATGTCTAATACTTTTCAATTTCCATATCTCTAATTTCGTTGAATGTAGAAGAAATTAATTTGCTCCCATTTCTGGTTACATCTTAGAGCTATTTTGCTAATTGATCAAATAACGCGCTCGGCGATCCGTAATTTACAACCAGCAGTCACTATTCTTGTTGAACAAATATTGCTGCACCGAACCGATAAGACACCTCCACCGGTCATAGGGGGTGATCAGATCTTGAAAAGGACACGATTCTCAATATATTGAATATACTTAACAATGCTCACTGACAGCAACAAACTTTGCACGACAGCTTCAAATATCTCCAGCGTGACCAGGAAGGTCCTATTTAAGATTGAGCAGTGTTTGCGGGTGGAAGGAAGGGCAATTGACTGCTTCAGTATAAAGTATAACTTTGTATATTTTCAATGTGTAATCTTCTATCTGATTGAAGCTTTTGAATACAATTCATTTAATGTAAAAATAAATAAGCTGTCAATATCTAACGTTTTATAACATTTAATACAATATATACGTGTCCATGGGTTAGGTACCAGACAATTCAGCATGCCAATTTTTTTCAGCTATATTCCATATATTTCAATGTCTACATGCAACTTGCTTGTACACTTTAAATTTTAATTCACCTTATGGTATCAATTGTCTCCAAATAGTTCTTAGTCAAAATGAAATATGTCTTTTAAACGCATGAGAATAGATGTAGTTGTTTCGGTCTACATATTTCAGTGCAGTAGTTTGAGGAGCTGTCCATAGTCCCTGCCGGTTTATCTCGAATAAAATCCCTAAAGGCTGCCCGATTATATCTGACTGTGGTAGTCAGTCGTATGCAGTGTCAGAATACATTGATCATTTTTTACTACCTCTAGCATGTCAACATCGCGCTTACCTTAAAGACAAAACCAATTTTGTCAATAAAATAAAAAATCTCTAATGCTATTTTAATTTCTATTGACGTTTTTTTGGATGACATATTTATGGTTTGGACTCATTCTATCGAACAATTTTGGGAATTCTTTGAAATTCTCAACAACCACCACCCTTCTATCAAACTAACCGCAAACGTGAGTGACAAAAGCATAGACTTTCTCGATACCACTGTCTTTAAGGGAGATTCCATAGCAGAAACAAATAAACTGAGTATTAAAGTGTTAAACTGATACTCATCAACTCTTGCACAAGAGCTCCTTTCACCCAAAACATACCTTTTCTGAAATAATTAAGTCACAAGTTTTACGATTTCATCGAATTTGCACAAGATCTTCTGATTTCAACCAAGCCTGTACGATTGTTTTCTCAAAACTAAAAGAGCGTGGGTAATCTAAACGATTTTTACGAAACATAAAAAATCCCACCTTAGCACAGATAGCAGCTAACGACAGGCTTTATGCCGAAGTACTTCCAGGTTCAAGAAGTGCTCCATGTTTGTCCTGTAGATGCAAAACATGTCCCTTTATATCAGAAACTCATTATTTTGAAAGCAACTCTAAAAATAAAAGGTACCCGATCCAGGAACATCTAACATGTGAACATTCGAATGTAATATATTTAATTTCATGCAAGACATGCCCCAAACAATTTGTAGGAGAAACTAAGAATAATTTACGAACTAGTTTTAATGCTCATATGTCGGATATCAAATTAAAGAAAGACAAACCTGTTTCCAATCATTTCAACCTCGACGACCATTCAATAGACGATCTCACCCTAATCCCAAGTTCCCATAGAAATTGACTTGCCCGATGAAACTATCAAATTCCGTCAATCTAGGGAAGTCCCATTGGATTGAGACATTGAATACAGCAAGACCTAAATATTGTCCCGTTCAATTCAACCAGCCGAGCAAGCAAGATAGTTCATGCCCACTATAAGAGCCTTCAATAGAAATTCCCCCATGTCTATAAGCAGAAAATTGCATATTCAAATAATAAGAACTTTAATGATAATATTGTTCATAGTAAACCAAAAACAATCACTACGTAACAGATACTATACTCCTCGCCCATTGGGCGAGTTATGTTTTCTAATTTCAGATCAGAATCAGAACAGAAGAAAACCCAATATCAAGACCCTTAATCCTAATTTCTCAATAAATTGTCTTTTCCACCATAGACCTGTACATTTGAGAGAATCAAACCCTCCCTTCCCCGAAATTTAATGTTTCATTTAAAGTATGACGTGTTCTCACCACCACAATATTGTTACAGGTACTTATTTTGTTTGAATTTGTGGTTTGCAAACCCATAATTAATTGAAAGAAACCTAATCTCTACATTGTCATTCATATTTACATGCCATGTCCATTTCAATTATAGCATTAAAATTAAGCTTGGTATTACACACATATAACTATTTAAACCATTCTATGGATTGTATCTATGTCTTTCGGAGATTGTAGATTATTCCACCATTTATAAAAGAATGTTTCAACTATTAGTTTAAACAATGGTGTAATCAACATAATATTCTATTCACTCTTTTCTATAATTTAATCAAATGCATTCAAAAAAATTCAAAGATCATTGTCAGCTTTATATAATATTCTAGTTATATACTGGAAGTCTTCTTATGGTCCCTTAAAGAGATTAAATATAATACTGCACCAGGTAATGTATGACTTGTTAAGGCAAATGATAAATAATACTGTGACAGGAGTCTTTTCAATACAACTTATGCCGCTCAGCAGCTGGTAAATTGTTTTCAAGCGAGTCAACACAGATAACATTTATTTTTATACAGATAATAATCATCAGCTTTGACAAAGGTGGTGATTACTCAAAGACATTCAGCTGATCTATTCCTAATGG